GAACTGGTTTTGCAGACAGTTTTTAGTTGCTGTGTTGTGCTGGGATTCAAACCCAGGTCCTCTGCAAGACCATTCAGTTCTCTTAACTGCTGAGTCATCTCTCCAGTCCCAGCCCATCCTATTTTTGATTTTTATTCTTTAAAGATGAAAATGGGCTAGGAATGTAGCTTGGTTCAGAATGCTTATCTAGTAAGTACACAGCACTGGGTTCCATCTTGCTGCATGAAAATGAATACTAGTCTCAGCAATCAGATTGTGGGCATTTAAAAAAATATTTTTATTTTTATTTTATGTGTATGCATGTATTGCCTGAATGTAGGTAAGCGCACCTATGTTGTGCAGTGACCGCAGAGGACAGAAGAGGTTGTCGGATTCCCTCGAACTGGAGTTACAGACAGTTGTTAGCTTCTGTGTGGGTGCTGGGATTTGAACCTGGGCCTTCTGCAAGAATATTCAGTGTTCTTAACTGCTGAGCCATCTCTCCAGCCCCAGATTGTGGACATTCGAGAAGAAGAATGCACAGTTTTGCAAGGGGGCCCACAGGACCCTCAAAGGGGCTTCAGTTCCACCTGTGTGGAGCCCAGTCTCCTTGGAGAGAAAAAGCAGAGACTCTAGGGTGACAAATTGTGGGGAAACAGAAAGGAACTAGCTACTGCATGAGCTCTCTGTAGCATGTCCACAACATGACTAAGGGTTACACTGGGCTTCCATTACAAGATATCCATGGATGTGTACTTCCCCATCAACATAGTTATTCATGAAAATGGGTCTCTGGTTGAACTCCAAAATTTCTTGGGTGAAAAATAAACATCTTCAGGGTTTAGATAAGTACAAGTGTTGCTTGCTGTGTTTCTCAAGTCCAGAAGGATGAATTAAGCCTTAAAGGAAATGATATTGAACTTGTTTCAAATTCAGTAAGCCAGAGCAGTAAAAAATAAGGATGTCAGAAAAGTTTTGGATGGTATCTGTTTTTGATAAAGGTGTAGTGTGGCAGGCTGATGAGTAAGACCTGCATGATTTAGGCTGCACATGGTGGTGCAAAGCCTTAAATCTCAGCACTTGGGAGGCAGAGACAGGCAGAACTCTGTTAGAAGCCAACCCCGAGGGCTTTGTAGTGAGAGCATGTCTCAAAAAAAAAATTGATTTAGGATGTCTTTAAGCACAATTTAACACTTCTTTAAAAAAGAGAGAAAGAAAGACAAAGAAAGAAAACTAAGTACTGGATGTGGTGTGGTGACATGGTGAGCATGAGCATGCCTATAATCCCAGCATGCTAGTGGAGGTAGAAACAGAAATTCAAGGTCACAGGAATGGAGGGAGGACAATCAGAAATTGAAACTTATCCTCCATCTATATGGCAAGTTCCAGAGGCTGGAATATACAGAACTCTGTTTAAATTAGCAAGTAAACACATTGCTCTGATTCCTCTTAACCAAAACATGAGTTAACAATGGCTTGTTTCTTTTTTAGGTAAAAACTGTACAAGTAAATATACTATTTTTTTTTGTCTTTTTGAGACAGGGTTTCCCTATAGTCATATCTGGCCTAGAACTAAGTAGACCAGGCTGGCCTTAAACTCCCAGAGATCCACCTGCCTCTACCTCCCAAGTGCTGGGACTAAAGGCGTGCACCAGTATGCCCTGCTCATACTTCAAAATATTTTAAAATGCTATTCTAATTATCTTGTGTATAATTATGAAGACAACTGATTTCTCCACATGGACCAATCTAACAATGTTACTTAACTTTTTGAAAATATTTTTATTTATTCAATAATTTTTTCATATAAAGCATTTTTTAAATTTAATAACCACACGATTAGAAGCATTTCATTACAGCTTCCACATACTCAATAACAATTTCCAGAGCAAGGATACATCTCTTTCAAAAGTGGCTGTAAATTTTTAGGTTCACAGTTGAATTAATACAGTTACACAATATTGAACTCAGTATAGACCCTGTAAGACATGAAATTGAATGAGCTTTTAACCTTTAAAAAGATCTCCATTTCAGTTTAAAATATGCTGTTTGCTACATTTTTAATGCTACTAAGGCTTAGATCTTTGCACACGTGTCTTTAATCTCTATGTATCTGATTATTACTAGTCACAGTCGATTACAATCAGTTACAGTCAGATCCTTGACACCTGAATATGAATATAAAGTCATCAGGTAGATTTCAGTGGTAATGGTTATCACCTCTACTAATTATTAAGGAGCAAATTTTTATGCTTTGAAGAATTATTATTTTTTATCATTATTTTTTTAAATTCTTAATAACTACATGATTAGAAGCATTTCACTACAGATTTAACATATTCAGTAACACACCCCAGAGCAAGAGTACATCTCTTTCACAAGTGGCTGCAAGTTTCTAGGTTCACAATTGAGTTAATACAGTTATACAATATTGAACTCAGTATAAGCCCTGTAAGACATAAAACTGAATGAGTTTTTAACCTTTAAAAAAGATCTCCATTTCATTTTAGAATATATTGTTTCATACATTTTTAATGCTATTAACACTTAGATATTTATATGTGTCTTGGGTTACTGTCACCCAAGTTCTATGCTGGGTTACAGTTATTGGACCACCCTGGCCAATAACTCAAAGGAAGGTATCTCCTATCTGGCATTGTTTCTTATTATGTAGCCTTTAGCTATACATATGGACTCTTAAAAAATTATATTGACCCCTTTAATCTTTGGTTATACTTTCCTTTTGGGTGTTTAAGACCCTACAATTGGTCCAGATAAACCAATTTATTTTCACTCTTAAGGTCATTTGAGGATCTGTTCCTCAAGGGTCACATGGGCTTGGGAGGAGCCCCTGGCTCCTTTCTTTTATCAGTTCCATCTATGTGAAGATAAGTCAAAAGTCCTGCTTGACCATGGCTGGCTTTGCTTGGAAGCATGTGTGCTGTGTTGACTCTCTTCTTTGTAGATTGGACACTGGTTCAAGTCCATCAAGTGGGATCTCCATGGCCTCTTTGATCAAGAGGACAGGTGACTCACCACAGTTACAGGACATTTTGAGAGATGCTCATAGTCCCCTGGAACTTAGTTGACCTAAGAGGAAAAGGAACAAAAACTGTCCTTTGTGTCCCTCTGACCAAACTAGTATAGGCCACAAAGTATGACTTAAACATCCAAGAAGATTAATTCCACCAGTCTGGTACTTTTAATTACCATGTGCCATGTAGATAAAGCTTGGGCAAAGACCAAACGTTCTCAGATAAACCTTGCCTAGACATATATTCTTTGATCTAGTTGTATGTATAATTTGTCAGTAGGTTGTTGGACTAATATGGTTCCCTCTGGGTTTTTTAAACTAGCTAGGCATTATTTATCTCTCACATTGTCTAAACCTTCCACCATGGTTTCCCCATTTAAGGTGCCCCCATTTTTCCCATTTCTCCCTTAATAATACCCTTCTCCTATGGTCCCACCTCTCTTGAGCTTCTTTCCCCTTAACCCCTAGGTTCATTGTATAACCTTCCCTCCTCCAATCCCCTTAAAATAACCCCATTTTTATCCATATCGCCCTTATTAATGGCTGTTTCCTATAGTTCTTTTCTTTTAGATTCTTTTTTTTTCCCCCCTTTACCTCCGTGGTTCCTTTTCATTATCCTGGTTCCTGTAGTTTTCTCTGGATACATAATCACTTTTCAGGATTTGGTGCTAGGATCCACATATGAGGGAAAACATACGTCGTTTTGTTTTTTGTTTGTTTGTTTTCTGAGTCTGTTACTTCACTTAGTATAGCAGTTTCTAGTTCCACCCATTTACCTGCAAATTTCATGATTTCATCTTTCTTTACTCCTGAGTAGAACTCCATCGTATAAATGAACCACATTTTCACTATCCACTCATCAATTGAGGGACACTTAGGTTGCTTCTGTCTCTTAGCTATTGTGAAAAGAGCAGCAACAAACATGGATGTACAAATGTCTCTGTAATAGGATGAATTCTTTGGGTACATGCCAAGGAGTGGTATAGCTGGGTCAAATGGTAGGTTCATTTGTAGTTTTTTAAGAGTTCTCCACACTGCTTTCCATTGGGGTTGAACCAGTTTGCAGCCCCACCAGCAGTGGATGAGTGTTCCCCTTTCCCCACATCCTCTCCAACATTTGGTATCATTTGTTCTCTTGATCTTAGCCAGTCTGATGGGGTAAGGTGAAATCTTAAAGTGGTTTTAATTTGCATTTCCCTAATTACCCTAATTACTAGTGATGTTGAACCCTTTTTAAGATGCTTCTTAGCCATCTTTACTTCTTTTTATTTTATACAATGTATTTTGATCATATTCAGAGTCTCCCTCTCCCTTCTCCATCCCCATCCTATCCCCTGCCCCTGCAATTCATGTCCTCTATTATTGTTTGTCTTTTTATTTTCTTTCTTTATTTATTTAATTTATTGTCTTTTTGAGACAGTTCCAGCTGCCCTGGAACTCACTATGTAGACCAGGCTGGCCTTGAATGCACAGAGATCCACCTGCCTCTGCCTAGAAAGTGCTGGGATTAAAAGCATGTGCCACCTTGCCTGGCTATTTGTCTTTTTTTTTTTTTTTTTTTTTTTTAAGGCCTATTGAGTCTAATCTGTGTTTCTCAAGTGCTCTTAGGTGTGGGTCCATCCTTTGGAGTCTGGTCGGCTACCAATATCACACCAGTAAGGAAAACTGACTCTTCCTCCTCCCACCGTCTAGCAGTTGCTTCTTTTGGCAACTTAGTTAGGGTAGTGGTTTTGGGTGTGTTTGGGAAAATGTCTAGCATTTAGGAATGATACCTAAAGACAAGAAGTTGGAAACTCTCTGTAGTTAAACTTTGATCAGTAGAAGCATGGTGTGTTTGCATGTTTATGAAACAAAGTAGTTTTTAGATTCTGATTATATTTTTGACACCTTTATGAATTTGTAATTTTACATTACTTTTCCTTTTAAATAGACATTGCTGTTGCTGCCCAACATGATCATGCATAGATTTCTGTTTTTTAATTCACAGAGATTAAAAGATGTTGGTGGAGAAGCATTTTATCCATTACTTGAAGATGAGTAAGTACATGCATCCCATTTGACTTTAGTTTATTTTCTGTTTATTTTAGATTAGTACAAAATATGTGTTTTCACCTGAAAAGGCTTTCTAAATAAAAGTTTTAGAAAGTAATTGATTTGTTAGCATTTTGTGTCTTTGTCAATATTTTGCTTCTTTGCTCTTTTACAGCCAGTCTAATTTACCTCATTCGAACAGCAGTAATGAGTTGTCTGCAGCTGCTACCCTCCCTCTAATCATTAGAGAGAGGGATACAGAGTATCAACTACACAGAATTATTCTCTTTGATAGGCTGTTGAAGGTAGGGATTCCAACATGTTACGTGTTATTGATACATTTTCTGAGTCTTCCCTGAAAACTACTGTTAAGAGTCTTTATATCATGAGAAAGGTCATTCTTAGGACCTCTTTTCTGATTAACTTATTTAAATTATAAAATTGGTCAAAGTTCAAGATATGTGAAAAATCATCTTCTACAAAGAATTAACATAATTTTTCAAGAAAACTTAAAATTAATAGGAAAAAGTACCAATATTGGTGCAGAGAAATTAATAGAGTATATAATATAATTAATCAACAAATATAATTAGTCAACAAAAATACTACAGCTGGTTACCTCTACCAGGAATGAAAAAATATATATATATATATGCACATCATTAAAAATCCAGCACAGGCACATTGAGACTGAAATTGGAACTCTTTCTAGAACAGATCTGAACCATTTTGCAAAGCAATTTCAAGAAATTTATCAGGTACCTGAGCTATACTCTAATAATTATCTTCTAGAAATCTCTTCTAAAACACAAATTTGTAAAAGGACACATTAATATACTATGTATACAGGAAGTTACAGCAGCTTATACTCCTCAAATACTTTCTATATTACTAGAATTTCACAGTGTTTTTTATCTACATTTTCTTCTTGTATCCATACAAGACTAGCCTTCTGCTTTTCCCTGTCATTACTTATAATCCTTCCAGGCCATGAAACAGATAGGAATGATTGAAACAGGTCGACTGAGCGCCTGTTTTTTTATATTACTAAACTTTTGGAGGTGATTAGGTATCCATTCGTTTGTTTATATATACAAAATCAGACCCAAGTATTGTAAATACTTTGAAAGTTATTGCAAAACACTTTTATTTTATCACTAATATATTATGAACTGTCTAGATTGGAAGATGATACTGATAATTTGAGATACTTTTCTTGATGTTATTTTCCTTTTAATCATTTTTTAATTGACACAGCTATACATATGCGGTATCTTGTGGTGTTTCTACCCATTTTTACATAATACTGCTCTTAAGTCAGAGTAAGCATGTCTGTTTCTTCAGACATTTCCCATTTCTGTTTGGGAAAACACTCAATATTGTTTCTTCTAGCTTTCTTTTAAGATATAGTGCAGCTGGGCATGGTGGCGCATGCCTGTAGTCCCAGCACTTGGGAGGCAGAGGCAGGTGGATCTCTGTGAGTTCAAGGCCAGCCTGTTCTACATAGTTCCAGAACAGCTGGAGCTACAGGGAGACCCTGCTTCAAAAAGACAAAAAAAAAAAAAAAAACATATAGTGCCCTATCTGTGCTGGATAGCATTAGTGTCAACTTGACACACCGGGGTTGAGGGAGCCTCAATTGGGGAACTGCCTCCATTGGACTGGCCTGTAGCCATGTCTGTCCTGGAATTTTCTCAATTGTTGAGTGATGTGGGTGGGCCCAGCCCACTGTGGGTGTTGCTGTCCCTGGGCAGGTGGGCCTATGGTGCATAAGAAAGCAGATTATGCCAGGCATGGTGGTGCACACCTTTAATCCCAGCACTCAGGAGGTAGAGGCAGGTGGATCTCTGTGAGTTCAAGGCCAGCCTGGTCTACATGGTGAGTTCCAGGACAGCTGGGCTACAGAGAGACCCTGTCTCAAAAAGACTGAAAAAAAACCAACAACAACAACAAAAAAGCAGATTAAGCATGGGCCAGGGGAACAAGCCAGTAAGAAACATTCTTCCATAGTCTGTGCTCCAGCTCCTGCCTCCAGGTTCCTACCCTGAGTTCTTACCTTGGGCTCCCTGATGAGCTTTGACCCAGGAGAAGTAAGCCAAATAAACCCTTTCCTCTCCAAGTTGGTATTGGTCAGAGTATTTTTTCACAACAATGAAGAAACAAACTAGGACACTATTTACAGACAGATTCTCTAGTAGAACACTAGTGTTTATTTTGTCGACCTGGCTGTATACATTGAGTAACCTTTTCTGTCCCTCCCTCTCCACTCTACTGTCTAGCCTCTAGTAACCAATAATCTACTCTAAACTTCCAGGAGACCTCCTTACTTTTCTAAATTTCATTTCCTGTGAGTGAGAATGTCTTTCTGTGCTTGGCATATTTAACTTATCATAGTATTTTCCTGTTTCATCCAGGAAATTACAGGAACTCATACTTTGGGGATGAATAATATTCCACTGCATACATGTGGCACATTTTCTTGATCTACTCATAATTTGATGAATATAGGTTAATTCTATTTGTTGTATACTATGAATAGCGGTTCAATAAACATGGCAGTGCAGATGTGTTCTGGACGACATACTGGTTTCATTTCCTTCACATACATACTCAGATCATAAGTGTCATGGTTTGAATGAGCTCAGTGACACAGTCTCATGTCCTTTAACATTTGGACCCTAGCTGGAGGTTCTGTTTTAGGACATTGTGGGACCTTAAGGAGGTGCAACCTGGGCCAAGGAAGTGAGTACTGGGAGTAGACTGAAGTTTGTAGCTCAGCTCTGCTTCTGACCCTTGTCTCTTTGCTTCCTTTTGGCACTGCATAACACATAGCCGCTGTCCTGTAAACCACCACATGCCTTTGCTACCCTGATGGACTGTACCCTCCAATCTTTGAACCAAAGCAAATGTCTTTCCTCTTGAATTGTTTCTATGAAGTATTCTGTCACAGCAATGAAGAAAGTAGCTAATACAATTAGCTAGGTCTGTTTTAAATTTTTTGAGGGACCTTCATAGGTTTTCCATAATGGCTGTATGAATTCATACTCTCACCGTCAAGTGTGCAAAGGCTCCCTTTTCTTCACATCCTCAATAGCACTTCTTATCCTGTCTTTTGGTAGTGGCCATTATAGCTGGAAGGAGGTGAGGCACTTCATTGTGGTTTCTGCTTTGCATGCCCGTTAATGATGTTGAACAATTTTCCCATATACCCACTGCCTAATTGTATATATTCTTTTTTAACATGTCTATTTAGATCTATTCCTATTCATTTAGTTTTTAACTATTGAGTTTTGGGTATTGCTTACATATTCTGGATATTAACTCCTTGTTGTATGTGTAATTTGCCCATCTTCTCTGCAGTTCTGTTACTGTCCTTGTCTTGCCGATTGTTTCATTTGCTGCACAGTAGCTCTAATGCAAAGTATCCATTGTGTTTTGGGAATCTTTTTTTTTCAAAATATTGTATTTATTATTTAAATTTTATGTATATGAGTGTATTGCCTGCATGTATATGAGTGTATTGCCTGCATGTATGTGAGTGCAGGCATGTCATGCCATGCCACGGAAGTCAGAAGAGGGCTTCAGATTCCCCTAGAACTGGAGTTAAGGATGGTTCGTAGCCACAGTGTGGGTGCTGGGAATCAAACCCGGGTCCTCCACAAGAGCAGTCAGTGCTCTTAACCGCTGAGCCATCTCTCCAGCCCCATGGAATCTTATCTTTAAAAACATCCTCATTAATTCCAACATACTGCAGTGCTTCTTTCATACTTTCTGGTCTTATATTTAAACTTGTAATCTAATTTGAGTTGGTTTTAGTAATCAGTAAGGAAAAGGAGTCTGGTTTCAGTATTTTGCATGAGGACACCCAATTTTCCTACACCATCTATCGAAGACTTACTCCTCCAGCGCACATTTCATGAATGTTTGAGTTTATGTCCAGCTCACCATAATCTACTGGGATTCATCTCTATATTGGCCCATAGCTTTCTTGCCTAGTTTTGGTGTCAGAATAATGCTATATTCTAGAATGTGCTTAGAAGAATTCTTCCTATTCATTTCATAAATAATTTGAGAAGAATTTATATTAATTCTTCTTTATAGGTTTGCTAAAATTCAGACATGTAGTGCTAGGCTTTACATTGAGATTCTACTATGGATTCAATATTGAAGACTTGATTATGGACTGTTCATGTTTAAAATGTATTTATTATTTAGCTTTGAAAAGAGTATGTGCCCAGGAACTTGTCCATTTCCTTCAGTTTATGAAATGTGTGGGATTGTGTTGTTCATAACGGTCTCTAATGGTCCCTTGTATTTCTGTGGTGTCAGTCATAGTATGTTTCTTTTAGCTCTGATTTTATTTATGTGGATCATTTCTCTATCTTTTTAAAGTCTAGCTTGGAGTTTGTCATTTTGTTCTTTGGGAAAAAATAACCTCATTTCATTTATTTTTTTACTATTTTGTTGAACTTTTTCATTTATGTCTGTTCTGATGTTTATTATTTCACTACTTCTAATTTTGGGTTTGGTTTGTTCAGCTTTTCTGGTGACAGATTATGTGCACTGTTTCTGCTTTTTATGTTAATTAATTTCTATAAACATCCCTCTTAATGCTAATTTTACTGAGTCCCATAGATTCTGGTATGTTGTTGTCAGTATTGTTTGTTTCAAGAGATTTTTAACTTCCTTTATACTATTTTAATTGGGTCTATCAATAGTTCAGAAGTATGCGTTTCAATTCCTATATAATTATTGTTTTCAACATTTTCCTATGGTTGATAAATATGCTTGATATGATTTTAATTTTTTGGTAATTTATATCCTTTCATAGGCTTATCCTTATAAAAAAAATCAAATTTGGAAAGAAGCAAGAGTTGACATTCCTCCTCTTATGAGAGGTTTAACCTGGGCTGCTCTTCTGGGAGTTGAGGTAAGAAAGAAAAGGGATCAGAATTGATGAGTAGTGCATAGAAAAAAATTAGTGCTGCCCAGTGTGGTGATTCATATCTGTCTCCCCAACAGTCAGGAGGCTGAAGTGAATCATGAGGTCAAGGCCAGCCTGGACTATATATAGAAACCCTGTCTCAGAAAAAAACTAATTTTTTTCCTAAGTATAGTGCTTTGTATCTACTTTCTAAATTATTAATAGAAAAATTATATGTTCAAACATGAAGATTAGAATATTTGACAATTTTAAGTAGAAAGAATACATGAAACTGATAGAGATAAGAGTTATGCAACTTTGGAGTCTTTTAGTACCACTGAAGGTACTCCAATTGCCTCACCTTGCATCCCTGTTCAGCATAGAAGAAGCCAGAGCGGTCTGTGTCCCGATTCCCTGTTGGCAATTTGGGTAACCTCTTCAGAGGATGGTGTGATAAGAATAGGAGGTAGGAATTGGCTAGGCAGTTAGGGTAAAAAGACCCCAAAGAAAAGTAGCCAGTTTCTTGGCTAAAACTCACTATGTCCTTGGGCCTCTTAGCAACCTACTCTGTTCCAAAGGCCAAAAGTGTCAAAAGTATTTTGGAGCTTGTATCTAATCCTTAAAAGATTTTAGGGTTACCTCTTCAGAGGGGGCAATGTTAGAGTAGCCAAAAGCCCCATAAAAATAAATAAATGAAAGAAGAAAAAAAAAGAAAGAAAAAAATGATGGGGAGATATGGGAGGTGGTAGAGGGGAGGGAGTGAGCATGGATTTGATCAAAACACCTTATATGCATGGATGAAATTCTCAATAGTTTTTGTAAAAGTTAAGAAAAAAACATTTTATAATTATGTTCTTTAAATTTTTTTAATCCTACCAAGTTTATTGGGCTCGCTAACAGAGCATAGGGGATGGGGGTTTATTTACAGAAGAGTGGGCTCCCCCCGCCACCCCATTTACAGCTCGATGGAAAGTCCACACTCATATAGGTCCTGTGACTCCCCGACAGCCACACAAAATGAAGAGAGAAGTGCCTCGTGGCAGTCTCAGCTTATATATCCTTAGCCCCTCCCCCACATGCAGCTAAGGTCGACTGATTAGGTGGGAGGGGTAACTGACTCCTTCATCAACTCCTTGACTAGCATGGGAAGGAGGTGTGACTATAACTTGTTAGCATAGTGGTCAGGGGACACTTCCAGTTAACACTCCACCCTTCCTTCAGCTCTTACATTCTTTCCGCCAACCTCTTACACAAAAGTCCCTGAGTCTTGGAGGGGATGATGGATATGGGATGATCTTCTTCCCATTGTGGCAAGGAACTGAACTTTCAGGTCTCTGCATTATCTGTTTTCCATGGGCTGTTGGCCCATTTCAGTGGGATTCCATCTGCTATAAAAACACAAATAGCAAGCTGGACATGGTGACACACACACCTTTAATCCTAGCAGTGGCAAAGACAGGTGGGTCTCTGTGAGCTCAAGGCCAGCCTGGTCTACATAGTGAGTTCCAAACCAGCTGAGGTTACAGGGCAAGACCCTGTCTCAAAAAGACAAAAAAAAACAAAAAACAAAAACAAAAAGAATAACCCCACAAACAGCAAGAAGCAAGAACATCTAAACAGTGGCTGCTATACTAACCTAACTTATGGGCATAAACATAAATGCTTGGACAGGACTTTAGCAGGTGCATCACATCCACCTAACAAAACAATTGCAGTGGCTTCCCCTCTGGGGCCTATCTCCTCCCCTGCGATAGGGGGTTGGCTTGATTACAGTACCAGATATGTGTTCCACCTCTAGGAGCAGGCATTATATCCAATCAAAAATTTGCTGGTTGTATGTGCACTAGATGTGCCACTATTGCACCAGTTAGAACATCTTCAGCATGTTGATAGAGCAGCACTTGGGGTCCATCATTGAGCAGAATTATAGGGGATAGTGCTCCCCCAGCCATCTGCATATAGCCTTCTAGCCCTATGAAAGCCAACATTATTGGCAATGGCCTTTATTATTTTGGGGACCTCTAGGGCCCTTCTGGAAAACAGATTATAAGGGGGAGAACCCACTCCTGGCACTGGGATTTTCATTTAACAGCCTCTGGGAGGGCTTTCTTCCATCCCAGTAGGGTTCCTTCTGTGCTTAAGGCTTTTTTTTTACTGTGTATGAGGAGAATTTTTTTCCCTTTTATTCCCATAGTTCTTTGTATAGCCCTCCTTCCCCTCTTCCTGTTTAACTACCCCCTTTTTTCATATTTCTCCCTTAGAAACACCTTTCTCCTACTATTCTTCTCTCTCAGGTTCCTTCTTTCCCTTTACCTCCTGGTTCCCTTCCATATTTTTGGTTCCTGCAGTTACATCAGGATATGCGCTCACTTACAAGGATTTGGTGCTAGGATCCACAAATGAGGGAGAACATACGTCTTTTGTTTTTCTGAGTCTGTGTACTTCACTTAGTATACCAGTTTCTAGATCCATCCATTTACCTGCAAATTTCATTATTTCATGTTTCTTTACTGCTGAGTAAAACTCCATGGTATAAATAACACTTAGGTTGCTTCCATCTCTTAGCTATTGTGAAAAGAGCAGCAATAAACATGGTTGTACAAGTGTCTCTGCAATAGGATACCTTTGGGTACATGCCAAAGAGTAATATAATCAGGTCATATGGTAGGTTCATTTTTAGTTTTTTAAGAGTTCTCCACACTTTCATAGGGGTTGCTGAAGTTTGCAATCCCACCAGCACTGATTGAGTGTTCCCCTTTCTCCAAATCCTCACCAGCATTTGGTATCATATGTTCTATTGATCTTAGCCAGTCTGACTGGGGTAAGGTAAAATCTTAAGGTGGTTTTAATTTGCATTTCCCTAATTACTAATGATGTTAAACACTTTTTAAGATGTTTCATAGCCACCTTTATTTCTTCCTTTGAGAACTCTCTATTTAGATCTTTAGCCCGTCTTTTAATTCAGTCATTTGCTTTCATGGTTCTTTATTTTTTGAGTTCTTTATATATTCTGGATGTTAAACCTCTGTCAGATGTGTCCCTGGTGAAGATTTTTTTCCCACTCTGTGGGTTTTCTCTTCGCTTTTTTGATTGTTTCTTTTGCTGTACAGAAGCTTTTTAGTTTAATGAGGTCCTACTTGTTGATTGTTGACCTTAATTTAGAAAGTCCTTCCTTACACCTATGTCTTGTGCTTTACTGCCTGTATTTTCTTCTAATAGTTTGAGAGTTTTGAGTTTCACATTGAGATCTTTGATCCAGTTTGATTTCCAGTTTACAGGTGGCTCCAAGTTCAGGTCAGTCTTTCAGTCCAGCTGTGCCTTGTCCAAGAGTACGAATATAGTGTAGTGGTTTTAGCCTACCCTTGTCACTGACCATCTGCCAAGAGAAAGCTGCTTTGTCTTCTTCCACTGTCTGTGGCAGTGAGGAAAGGAGAGCTGTCACAGGGCTACTCAGTGGCTTACAGAGCTCAGAAAACTCTGATTACAAATCATAAGGACATGAATCCTTGCTGCAAGTCCTATTAATTTCTTTTTCATTCTGTCTACCTGAATTTTCATAGATATGTCATCATTTCAGTTCCCTCAACCATTTTTAATTGCTTGACAGGCCTTAGTTGGCAGAATTTTGTTGTTGCTGTTATTCTTGATTCTCTTAATGAGACTCTGTAATTTCTTCGGTTCCTTTACAAGATTGCCTATTGGTGCTTATGGTATATTAATTATTGCTATTATAGAACCATATAGTATGCCAGTCCAAGAGGACTTATGGTTTTCTGTCAGGTTTTCCAGATATATTGTTAATAGTCTCTACCATTATAGTAGTCAGAAAAAAGAACTTTTTCGTGCTTGATCCTATAGAACCTGACCATGTTTTAAAAGATCATATTCACATATTCTTCATGTAACACTGTAAGTGAAAATATAAATGGATTTTTAGTCCCTAATGTTCCCATAATGTCAAAATATCTACCCTTCCTGGCACATTCTTGGCACTACCATTTTTGAAGCAGGTTTATTGTATTTTTTGCTTTGCTAACTTAAAATGAAAATTTTCTGATAAAATAACCCCCCCAACACACACATATTTTTTATTCTTATTTTTTTGTCTTTTTGAGACAGGGTCTCCCTATGGCCACACTGGCCTGGAAATCATTATGTAGACCAGGCTGGCCTCAATCTACCTGCCTCTTCTTCTTGAATGCTTGATAAAAGACATATACCACCATGCCTGGCATTTTTTAATGATATTTTTATTTATGAGTTAATAATGTATAGAGAACAACAAAGTAATGTTATCTCCTCCAGCTAAGTGACTTATCAAGGTCACTTACCTTTTGGTATATGTAATTCAAAAGTCTACCTTACCAAAATGGCAAGTGTTACTGAACATAGACCTTCATCATTATAGTGTCCAAAATGTAGAAAACTTCTGTTAAGTTGAGGTATAACTTGAGTTTGAATATACCTATCCATAGTTAGGTTTTCAAAAGTAGATGTTTATAAGAAAAACATTTTTTCCTGTTAAGCATCACTATTTCAAAAACCTGAAATCTGAAATGCTATGAAGTCTAAAAGCTTTTCAGTATTGACATCTTGCTGAAAATATTTTTGGATTCTGGATCATTTTGGATTTTGGATTTTCAGGTTAGAGATACTCGACCAGTAAATTTTACACAAATGTTCTAAAGTCAGAAAACTACAAAACTGTCGCGCTTTCTTCCTCAGACTTTAGGATGGTAGATGATCAATGGCAATTGCAAGCTTTATTAAGGATATGATAAATTAAATATTTTTTTTTTGCAGGGAGCTATTCATACCAAGTATGATGCAATTGATAAAGACACTCCAATTCCTACAGATAGACAAGTAAGGTTTTCTATGCAACCTAAGATAATTCTGCCAATTCTTAAGTTTTAAAGAGTATGAGGAAATCTTCCTTACATTATGGATACTCATCTACTGCTCAGTACATGTTGTGTTAAAAAGTAGTTTTTCTATGGTCATAAATTAATGAGTTACAACAATACTTTAAAAGGCTTTTGATCAAATAACCTTTTAAAAAATAATTGTATTTTGAGGCTAATGAGATGTACAGAGAAGCACACAGAGGTACTGGCTTCAGTCCCCAACATGGCAACTCAAAATGGTTTGTAACTCCAGTTCCAGGGGATCTGATTGCCCTCTCTGGACTCTGTGAGCACTGCACACATGAGGTATACATACATCCATGTAGGGAAAACTCTCATACACATAAAATAAATATAAATCTTTTTTAAGTTGTATTTCTTCCTTTATTTAGCAGTCACAAACCAAGGTGTTTTTGAAAACTGTATTAATATATACCTTTCAAAAATATGATTTGGTTCTTTACTCCTTAGTTTACATACAACTTTTTTAGTGTTTTTAAAGCAATTTTTGTTTTTTTAAAAATAGGTTTTTTTTAATCTTTTGTCTATGGCATATGAGTGTATTGCCTGCATCATACAATGCCTGTGGAGGTCAGAAGAAGGCATATCTTTTGTCTATGGCATATGAGTGTATTGCCTGCATCTGTGTAAGTACACCCATATCATACAATGCCTGTGGAGGTCAGAAGAAGGCAACAGATCCCCTGGAACTGGAGTTAGGATGGTTGTCATTTGCTGCCATGTGGGTGCTGGGAACTGAACCTGCGTACTCTGCAAGAGCAGCTAGTGCTTTTAATTAAAACCACTGTGTCATCTCTCCAGTCCTAAAGAGATTAGTTTTAGTGATTCAAAAACTATTGTCAAAAGATTACAAAGGTAGAATATTCTGATATATAATCTTTGTTGTAATTTATTGAAGGAGTAAGGACCAGAAGTTTGTTAGGAATCATTCTGTCACAGTTCTGTCTTAAGTCTTTGCTGTTCACAGATTGAAGTGGATATTCCTCGCTGTCATCAATACGATGAATTATTATCATCACCAGAAGGTCATGCAAAATTCAGACGTGTATTAAAGGCTTGGGTAGTATCTCATCCTGATCTTGTTTATTGGCAAGGTAACTTTTTTAGTTATTAGGACTTTTCTCGATGCCTTTTCTCCTTCATTTTGAGAAAAGACAACACTAAGGGGTTCTGATTCATTTTGAAGACTTTTATAAGATGAATTTAAGTTTTTTTCATTTAAATGTTTTTGAAAATTTCACACTTTATTACTGTATTTACATCATTTTCTTTCCTCCCTTTCCCCTCCAATTCCTCTTGTGTCCCCCCATCCACACAACCTCCCAAATTCATGACCTTTTCTTCTTTAATTATTATTGTTACATATATATGCATGTGTGCACGCTTACATGTGTGGGGTATGTGTGTGTGTGTGTGTGTGTGTGTGTATGTGTGTCATACTTACAGAGTTCATTTAGTGTTAGTTGTATATACATGTGTTTAGGATTGACAACTTGGGATTGGATAACCTATCAAGGAGCTTGTCCCTAGAGAAAACTGATTGTCCCTCTCTGAGCATCCATTGATTGATTACCTATAGATAACTTTAAATAAGACAACTTGGAATGACATTGATAGGAGGTAGTGCCTTTGGGGCTTATGAAATCTTGTGGATATAATTTTAATGCTTATCAAAATAATGATATATTTTATGCCATTAGCAATTTTATGCTATTTGAGATTTTTACTTTTAATTATTTCTAATATATACTTATTAGAAATTGAATATCACCCCACACTGCTCATTTTATTTGTCTCTTTTTTTTTGTCCCTAGTACCCTTAATGTCTCAGATCCTTGGTTTTTAGCTTTTGCTATTGTTAATCTTTATGATCATTAATTTATGAATGAGAAGCCCATTCAACCCAACTCTAGTTTTGAATCTTTTCCTATAAGAGTTGTTTTATATTTGAATTTTTTATTGTTGAACATTCTGAAGAGGAAGGTTTTGTTTGTTAGTCTTCTCAGTATATTTCAGAGGTATATTGTTCTAACTCATTGTAGGTAGATTTAGTATGTTCTTTCAACATGATAACATATAAATAGTGTTATTATAAATAAATATGTGCTTACATTTTGCTTCAAAGATTTTAAATGATTTTTCCATAATCCTGAAGAAAAAGAACACATATGGCAAAGATCCAGCTCCTAGATAAGTGAATATACCCAAAGATATTAACTACTCACCAAATTCAGTTTGGGTCAGAATTGTGACCATATTCTAAGGCTTCTAACATTTTTATGTGTCACTATTGCTGTATTGCTCTTTGCCTCATAATCATATTGATGATAGTAATAACTGATTGTTTTGGACACATAGAGTATATGTGAGACCCTATTATATATTCTGCATGAGACTAATGACAGAACTCACATCTCAATGAATAATACTTATCCTGCTTATTTTAATTATCCAGGAACTAAGGCAAAGAACAGAATAAGTTGTACAAGAGTTTATTTTATTCTTTTGTTTCAACCCCTCTGCATCAGGTCTTGACTCACTTTGTGCTCCATTCCTGTATCTAAATTTCAATAATGAAGGTAAGCTCTTTATTGCTGAGAAATCATTATGTGTATTATTCTAACATACCAGGCACAAACACAAAAGCTTTTTTCTCTTGAAGTCTTATGCTCTACCTTGTACATAGTATAAAATAGTATTAGACTTACTTTACAGGATAGAAAGGATGAATTTATTACTGAACAATGTCACTTGGCACCAGGCCATTTCTAGAAATTTGCTGGGAATTGGACTAATTATTCTAAACTAATTCACTTACTTTGTTGACCATTGTTATAGATCTTGGGGAGAAGATTCTAACTTCTTTAGACACTACTTTTAATCTAAGCATATTTTCTGTTTGTAAACTGGTTGATATTGGCCAGGGTTCTCCCTCATTTTGTATAATTTCAAACATGCCTCTTCAATGAAAATTTGTTAGTCTCCTTTCTGAACTTAGACACTTTGTATATCAGGGAATGGATTCTGTTTTGTGCTTATATGCTAGTTAACCTGCAGGCTAGTGTTGCAGCCCTTTGCTTGACACCCTTTTTGTTAATGGCAGGTTTTACAAATAAGTATTTGTTAGATTCAATTGAATCAAATACCAAATCCCAAATTACATCACATATTGAATATGCTATTTTATATTGCTTGAATGTATAGGTATCTAACCTCAGAATCTCCATTTTTTCATATTTTATATTGTGAAAGAATCTGTGCAAAATTCTGGAATTGAGTAGAGATAGCATCATCTCTCCAAACTCAAATTTTACTCATTGAATTATTTTTTTCTTTGAGACAGGATCTCCTTGTAGCCCCTGCTGTCCTGGTTCTTGCTGTGTAGACCAGGATGGCCTTGATCTCAGAGAGATCCTCCTGCCTCTCCCTCCTGAGTGCTGGGATTAAAGGTATGCAGCACCATACCTGACTCTGAATAATTTTGAAATGCCCTGTCCTCTGATATACTCACTCATTAATCTAGACTTCAGCTTTTGCTGTGCTTATTTAGGAACCTCCAGTTACTACTCATGGATCCGAGAACAGTAAGAAATCTGTATTGGAAAGTGCAAGTTATAACTAGTATTCCTAAATTCAGAATTCTTGGACTCTTTGCTTGCATCAGCAGTAATTAAGAATTGTGAGGTTTATTGGCCAGGCGTGGTGGCGCACACCTTTAATCCCAGCACTCAGGAGGCAGAGGCAGGTGGATCTCTGTGAGTTCAAGGCCAGCCTGGTCTACATAGTGAGTTCCAGGACAGCTGGGGCTACAGGGAGACCCTGTCTCAAAAAAACCAAAAAAAAAAAAAAAAAAAAAAAGAATTGTGAAGTTTCTATAGCTCATTAGACAATTAATAATTTATTGTTGTGAGGTAATGATTGCCATAGCAATTTGAAATTGAAGTCACTGTAATGTTTATCTTTTATTGTCCCAGTTTTTTTTAAGAACAACAGAAGCATTTCCCCCTTAATTTTGTGTTTCTGGCACTTATTACCATAATTGTTTAATAGTAGACTCAAAGAACATGTACTGAGTGCATAACAGCTGGTCATTACCTTGTAACTTCCTGTCTGTTTCTGTTATTGTTTTTAGCCTTGGCTTATGCATGTATGTCTGCTTTTATTCCCAAATACCTATATAACTTCTTCTTGAAAGACAACTCACATGTAATACAAGGTAAGCAAATGACTTTTCTTGTCTTTGTACAGGGAATGCACTTCTATAAAAAATAACCAATCTTCAAATTAATCATTTTGACACAGTGTAAAAGCTTCTTTTCTGTTGCTGTGATAAATGCCATAACAAGGCAGTTTATAAAATGAAGAGTTTATTTGGCTTATGGTTCCTGAAGGTAAGAGTCCATCATGGTAAGGATGCATGGCAGGAGGCAGCCAGTCAGAGCAGAAGCTGAATGCTCACATCTTCAAGCCAGGACGGGAAGCAGTGAGGAAACCAGGAAATGGAATGAGGCTATGAACTCTCAAAGCCTGCCCCAGTTATGTGCTTCCCCCAGAAAGGCTGCATCATCTAATGATTCCATGACCCTCCCCAAACAGCACCACCAACTGACCAAGTATTAAAATGCTTAAGCCTATGGATGATACCTCATTCAACTACAACACCCAATAAAATAGTTCATCACCAAAACTCAGGAAGAAAGATGAGAAAATTTAGCTTTTCCTCCAAATTCACAAAGAATTATGGTCCTTTTCTTAGTGTCATTTGCTTGGAATATTTTTTTCCATCCTTTTACCCTAAGGCAGTACCTGTCTTTGAAGGTAAAATGAGTTTCTTACAGACACCAAAAACAAGGATTTTGTTTCTCAATCCATTCTACTAGTCTGTGTCTTTTGACTGGGGAGTTGAAGCCATTGATATTTAAAGTTATTATTGAAAAATGTGTAGTGGTTACTGTCATTTTAATTTGTTTGTATTTTAGTCCTATTATTATACCATCATTTGTTTTCTTTTTTGGGGGGGTGTTTTTGAGACAGGGGCTCCCTGTAGCCCCTGGAACTCACTATGTAGACCAGACTGGCCTTTAACTCACAGGGATCTGCCTGCCTCTGCCTCCCAAGTGCTGGGATTAAAGGCGTGCGCCACCACACCCGGCTGTTTTCTTTCTTATAGCCTTTTGGGTACCATCATTCCTACCTTCAGTCTTTTGTATTACTTGGAGTATTCTCTGTAGGGCTAGTTTTGTGGACATGAATTCTTTCAGCCTATTCGTGTCATGGAAAATTTTTCTTTCCCCTTTGAATATGATAGTTTAGAACTGGGACTGCTTTGTTGAGGCTCTTCTGGCTTTCATAGTTTGCATTGAAAAGTCAGCTGTAATTCTGATGGGTTTTCTGTTAAGTGTAACTTCTTTTTCTCTAGCAGTTTTCAGTATCCTCTTTGTTCTGTATATTTAATGTTCTTACTATGATATGCCATGTAGAGTTTCTGTTCTTGTCCTGTCTGATTGGTGTTTTGTGTGCTTCTTGTATCTGTATAATTATGTCTTTTCTTAATTTGGAAAAAATTTCTTCTCTAATCATGTTGGAGATATGGTCAATATCTGAGATATGGTCATATCTGAGATTTTTCTCCTTCCTCTATGCTTATGATATGTAGATTTGGTCTTTTCATGGTGACATACATTTCCTGTATATTCCATTCCTGTGTTTTTTCTAAATTTTTCGTATTCTTTGCTTGAGCAGTCCAGTTCTTCAGTTCTGTCATCCAGTCTCAATACTCTGCTTTCCATTTCGTTCATTCTGCTTGTGAGGCTCTCTCCTGTTGTTTCAGATTGACTTGTTGAATTTTTCAATTCCATCTTCATTTTGGCTTGGGTTTTCTTCAATATTTCTATCCTGTTTGTAAATTCACTTTGCAATTCCTGATTTTTTTTTTTGCCATTCCATTCAGTCATATAGTTGTATTTTTGGAGCTTCAGTCATGAGTTTATTCCTATCCTCTTTGAGTTATCTGTGTGTTCTTTAGTTTCTTGGATCCTGTTTAGGATTGTTCTTTTAAATTCTGCATCCTGGGGTTCCTCTGGGTGGTTCTCTGGGTGAGTAGGACTAGTAGATTTTGCTGAGGACATATTCTCTTGGTTTTTTTATATTAATTGTTTTTTGCATTGTTGTTTAGCCAAATGGATTTCTTTTGTTGGTTGTGTGTCTGAGATATAGTTCTAGACTACCTTTGTTTAGTAGAAGTTTGGTTCTGTTTATATTGTTGATGTAGCTTGGTTGCTTTTTGCTCGAGTACGAATAGTTAGTTTGTGTGTGCTTCAGGTCCTCACTTTTGACTGTTTTGGGGACAGAATGATTCCAAGCTGATTATTGAAGTCCTCTCCAGCTGGGGCAAAGGAAGTTCAAGACTTTGGGGGTCTAGTGACTGGGTTCTGGCAGGCTAGTGGGTAGATCTCAGGCAGAAAGAGCAAGAGGGGATTGTACCACTACAGGTGGGGCAGGGATAGCATAGGAAGGTTCTCATTAGGAGAGTAGGTGTGACCTCTGAAGCTGGAGAATGCAACTAATCTGGGTGCAGGGGATCAGGACTCAGTGGGTGAGGTCTAGGTTAGGAGCTAGTTCAGAGGTAGGAGGCAGGAAGAGCAAGAGTGGGCCTAGGCCCAAGGCTGGAAGGCAGAGACTATGGAGCTGGTCAGGGTGCAGGGGAGTCAAGCCGCAGTGGGCAGGGTCTGACTTACCAAGGTAGAATGCAGGTCTCTGGCAAGCAGATCAGGAGAGGGGCCTATGGGCAAGATGAGGTTAGGGACAGCCTGGGCAGGAGCTAACTAACTAGACAAAGTAGGTGTGGGTCCTGAAGCAAAAGAATCGAATCTTCTTGTTTTCAAGAATGTCTTGTGTCATGTGTCTTAAGACATTTTTCCAGTATAGAGTTTTCTGTCTTAACTATAAAGGTTATAAGAACTATTAAATGAGTTTTTTTTCCTCATTTAATAGTGAGCAAAGAGAATGTTTCACAAATATAAGCCTAAAGATGACTCTTAATGGACTGAGGATACAGCTTAGTGGTAGAGTGCTTACCTGGCATATATGAGGACCTGGTTCAATCCAAGTACCACATTTTTTAAAAGATCACTTTTCTCTCTTCTTTTGAGCCCCCTCTTCCCATTTAGTTATAAAGATTGTACTTGTTCTTTGCTGTCAGTAAGGAGGCCATCCTTACTGGAAACTTTGTTAGTGAGAAGTAATTTCTGTTCGGTTGCTTCTTTTGAATGCTATGAACCAGCATACCACAAAGTGGTTTGGTTTGTGCAGAAATTTGTGATGCCCCTCCCTCCTATCTGTTCTGATTCTTTGTTTTTGTTTCTGACACATAGTCTTTCTATATAGTCCAGGTTAGTCTCAAACTTGCTATGTAGCTCAAGCAGGCCTTGAACTTGATCCTCCTGTCTCTGGCTTGCTGGAATTAAGGATGTGTACCAACACAGGCAGCATCTCTCTGCCTGTTTATCACAACTTACCATCTGCAGGATAAATCAGAAACCTCATGGAAAATAAAAACTAGAGTGTCGTTACTGATTTGTAAGCAGAAGAAACCATTTGCTTTAAATCTGTCATCCACATCCTTCATCTCTGCTTTTCCCCACCTAAAAGCTAAAAAGCTAGTCAGAAAGGAACATATTCACGTACAGGTTTCTTTTTAAAAAAATTTTTTTGGTTTTTATTTTTGTGAGTGAGTGTTTTATCTACATGTATATAAATGCATCCATGTCGTGCATTGCCTGTGGAGGCCAGAAGAGGGCATTAGATGCCCTGGAACCAGAGTTATAGATGGTTGTTAACTGCCATGTGGTTGCTGGGAACAAAACCCAGATCCTCTGCAAGAGCTGAGCCATCTCTTCAGTCCCTCCAGTAGAGATTTCTAAAATTCCATTTCTCCTATACGTCATGATCTCTTTAGAAAACAAATAAGGCAGGGCTGGAGAGATGGATCCTTGGTTAAGAGCACTGGCTGCTCTTGCAGAAGACCTGGGTTCAGAGCCCAGCACCCACATGGTGGGTGACAACTGTCTGTGACTCCAGTTCCGGGGGATCTGATGCCCTCTTCTGTCCTCTGCAGGCACTGTACAATATGGGTGCACTTACATACATGCAGGCATAACACTCATACACATAAAAAAAATTAAAAATTAAATAATAAATTTTTTTTCAAAAAGAAAACAAATAAGCCTTATTTATAAACAGCTACACAAAAATATTATATTGACTTCAGACCAGCCTGGGTTAAAGGAGTTAAGGACAGTTACTAGCATTTGGGTGCTGAGAATCAAACCCAAGTCCTCTGCAAGAGGAGCCAGTGCTCTTAACTGCTGAATCGTCTCTCGAGCCCCAGTACAGAGAAATTTTAAAAGAGGAAGGGTAATTTATTTTCATTGTATATCTCATTTCAAAAACTAAAAAGTTTTTTGTATTAAAATATAGGAAATTTATATTATGTATTATATTATGTAATAGTATAAAAACTACACTTGAGGTTTTAGAGAAATATTTTATAAATATCTTGATTTTTAAAAACTGAATAGTACGTACCTTTAGAAAATACTGTCTTTGAAGTTAAGACCCTTGATCCATGTTTTATCACTTCACAGTTGTAGTGCTTTGCTGTTTCAGTACCCCTTGCAATGGTCAGTAGTGTTTCATGTGTGGAGTCCTTTGTTTTATTCTTACCACTGGTCTGCTTCTGTGAAGACACCCTTAATTTTTTTTTTAGTTTTATCTCAAATCAAAGGCTATGTGCAATTTTATCTCTTTGTTCAAGCCTGGGAATTTTAAATTCTCTTAGGAGGTAACTTGGAATTTGATGTTGTTTTCATACAGCTTGTCTCATACCCGCCTTGACAGAAAAAGTGCATACTGTATTTCATTGTGAAGCCTATTCTGTACAGCCAAAACTTAACCAACTTTATATTATATTTACATATGTACATTCCGTCTACAATAATATATAAATGATATGCTAATATATCTGTGTATATGAATGTGTGTGCACTGATATGAATCCAGCCATCGGTGTTTGACATAATGCAAGGAAAATATTTCCATGATAGATAATGTTTGGTAGATCCGTAATTAGCCGTGTAAATCTACAGTGTAATTGAGCTTATCAGGTCTAAATATGCATGATGTTTAATAAACAAATCCAAGCATAGCTGTGGAGAATTGCCTGAGTCACAAAATTCTCCTTTAAACTAAAACATGCTCCTTAGCAGTTGGAAGCTAATAACTGTAGATTATCAATACTTATGAATACTTATGATGACTGATGGAGCATACTTCTTGCTTCTGAGTAAACTGGAATTACAAATATACCTTAAAGGAGGGAGAAAAACAGCCACAAGTTAAACCCCAGAGTTTCCTAGGGCCTTCAAATGTGTCCTAGATCTTTTATTTGATTTTGAAACTCTTAAAGATAATAGATTTTATGTCATTTGGTTTGAGATGATAAGTTAGGAAATGAATAAATTGAATTCTGCTGCATTAGTATGAAAAATATATCCAGAAATGTATTCATTGATCAGCCTCGTCTTCATCTACCATAAGTGAAAGTTCACATTTGGTCAGTAGTGGAATTAAGTATATTGTACTTGTATTAAAAATAGCACTGCTGTTTCTTTTCTGTTTGACTTGATGCTTTTCTTTATTAACACCACATAGCACTATTTATAAGCAAGAAACTATAAATTACATGGAATAATTAGGAGCAGAGTTTTAGTTGAGAAAAATAAGAGAAGGCTGCATTCACTTTTCCTATTACTATTTCTTGAAATATTAAAAATACTTCCATTAACTGATGAAACAAAGAAAACAGTGTTTTTAGAAGTTATTTTCACCAAATAACTTTTGCAAAATCAGTTATTTTTTTAGGAGAGTTAACAATATCAAAGGAGAACTTCTAACTTTTATTGAGTTACTGTGATTTCAATTTCAAAAAGAAATCAAGGTCATTGAAATATGCTTTTGTTTTGCTTTTCTTTATCTTGTTTTGTTTTGCGAGACAGTGTCTTGCCTTGTAGTCCAGGATGTCTTAAAATTTACAATCTTCCTACTGCCACCTCCAAACGCTGAAAGTGCAGACATGTTTGGCATTAATTTTGCTTTTTATTTTTAATAAGCCAAAGAAGGTTACTGGTTTGGAGCATATAGTACCAGAATCTTATTTAGGTCAGTATATTGGTACATAGTGAGTAAATTGGTAGAAAGAGTAACTTAACGAAACAATGAGAAAGTGAGAATGTGTTCTTTACATTGAACCTCTGAATTATACTGCAAGTCAAATCAACAGAAGATAAGGGGTGGAGTTTCGGCATGTGCATTTGTACATGAAGGTATGCTAGCCCATGCATGTACATGAGGAGACCAAAAGTTGATGGTAGGTGTTGTCCTAAATTGCTCTTTTCCTTATTTTTTGAGACAGGGTCTCTCACTGAACATGCTCACCAGCTAGCCCCTGTCTTCTCATCTTCTAGTGCTGGGGCTACAGATGCCCACTTTTATGTGGGTTCTGAGGATCTGAATTCAGGTCTTCCTGCTTGCACAGAAGTCTTTTTACCCACTAAGCCATTTTCCCTGCCCCCCAAAAAAAACAAAAAACAAAACTATTTTAAGTTGCCTATTTTTTGTCAACTTTCTACTAATGTAGTCTTAATTTTTATTCCTAAATATGCTAAATGTAGAATCTTAGATGGAGAAAATTATAGAACAAATGCTTAAATTTGTATATAGAAACAAATTTGTGACTGCTTGTCTTTCAATATTCCTTAAGCATCTGTTTAAACTTCTGAACATTTAATCAATATGAAGCAGACTTAGTGTTACCAGAGAAAATGTATTTGTACAATTGGATCAGAAAACATCAATCATTCTGTGTCTAATTTATGACTCAAGAAATAAACTAGACCCCCCCCCAAAAAAAAAGAAAGCTAAAGCTGGGCATGGTGGTGCACACTTTTAATCCCAGCACTCTGGAGGCAGAGACAGGAGAATCTCTGTGAGTTCTAGCCCAGACTGGTCTACATAGAGAGTTCCAGGCAAGCTGGGGCTAGAGGGAGACCCTGTCTCAAAAAGACCAAAAAAAAAGAGAAAAAGAAATGGACTAATAGCTCTGAAATTAAGCTGTGCCATGGATTTTTAGTATATTGTTTAATAATTCATATTACAATTAAAGTAGTAGCAAAACATAAAATTATTGATTAAAGTGTCCATGCTTTTTGGAAAATTAGATTCTTATTCAGAGTGTAAATTAAACTATAATTTATTTTAATTTAGTGTCTTGGAGGTGATTGCTAAAAACAATGATGGTCTTCAATGTTGTCCTTTTAGAGTACCTGACTGTGTTCTCTCAGATGATTGCATTTCATGATCCAGAGCTGAGTAACCATCTCAATGAGATTGGCTTCATTCCTGATGTAAGTACACCTGGTCCATTAACAGAACATGAGGCCAAAACAAAATAAAATAAAGCAGAAACAGTAACATAAAAGAAGGTGTTTTTAATGTGTGTTGTCATAGGAAATCTGCACAAGCTCACTGCTGCTAATTACAGCTTTGTGTTGCTTTCCACGTCTTCACCTAAAAGAAGAAAGTATCTTACTTTCCCCTTAGCACACGCAATATTAACAAATTGAGTTTTGGGGTTTTTTTAAAAATATTTTATTATTTTTATTTTATGTGTATGAGTATATTGCCTGCATGTGGGTAAGTGCACCCTTGTCATGCAATGCCCACGAGGATGGAAGAGGCCGTCAGATCTCCTGGAACTGGAGTTACGGACAGTTGTTAGCTGCCGTGTGGGTGCTGGGATTCGAACCTGGGTCGTCTGCAAGAAGTGTTCTTAACTGCTGAGCCATCTCTCCAGCCCCAACAAATTGTTTTTAAAGATTTTTTTTTATTATGTGTATGCACATTTGTCTGCATATATGTATGTGGACCATATGTGTGCCTGGAGCCTGCAAAGGTCACAGTGCCATGGAAACAGAGTTACAGACAGCTGTGAACTGCCTTGTGAGTTCTGGGCACCAAAACCAGGTCTTCTGTAAGAGGGGCAAAGGCTCATAACAGAGCCAACAAATTGTTTGTAAAAACCCATTTGGAAGAGTGATTTATTAACTTGTTCTTTGAAGAATCTTCACTTTGATTTTATGATTTTCAGACTAGATTTTGAGAAATAAGAAATTTATGCATAAGTGAAATTTTAAGTAGTTTCTTCTGTGTTTGACTTGATGCATTTTCTTGGAAACTTTGCCAGATTTTGGCATACTCTATTAGCTGCTCTGTATCAAGCTAAAATTCAGTTAACATTCAGATTCAGATAACTAGGGCATGACTTAGCCAGTTCCTCATTTGTGAGTTTTAACATTGAATCAATCCTCTTTTAAAAGGCTGCTGGATAAGTATGTATCAAAACATCATGCACACCATAAATATATGCAAAGATAAAATAAGTAAAAGTGAGAAAATGAACTAACAACTGGTTACATATTTGGTGAGGGGTTAGAATTAGTAGAGATGCAAGGGTTACATTTTAACTTTAAATTTTATTTTTAACACTGAATGTCTCAGTCAGTACTTAAAGTGAGAAAACTTGGCTTCTTTCCTACAAGTAATTACAAGTTTGCAGAGGTGTGTCTTCTATTGAAAAATTTTTTGTGAGAAGATATAATGTTCATGCTATATATTGCTAAAACAGGGAAAAATAATTGCTAAGATAATATGACATTATTTATATAAAATGAAGTATATATGTACATTACATAGAAATAGTTAAAAACTATACTCTAGAATATTATGACTACCTTAGGTTAAAGAAATTTATGGTGGGTTTTCTTTTTGAGAGGTTAAGTATAGTTTTAAAATTACTCTCATTTCATGTTATATAAAAATTTAAAGCATCTTATAATGTTTAATAAGTAGAACACTGGTTTTTCTTCACAATGCATAGGAAAAAATTGTATTTTATATTGAGATCCAAGGCATACAAAAATTGTGAATATGTATGTGTGTTTGTCTCTGTATGTGTAGCTGAAACAAACTTCATTAAGTGTTACACTTCTTACATATTTGTTATTTTGCTTTTAAATGTTTACATCCAATCAATTGTGGTTTTTTTTTTTTAACTTCAATTTGAAAATGCTAATATGAAGGATTTTTAAAATAATTTTAAAAACAAAGCCTTTCGGAGATAGAGAGGTCCTTATTCCACCTTTGAAACCTCCTTGGTTTCCTGGTAATGCCTCCTCACTGAAAAGCTCATACCCTGAAACTGGCATAGTGAGAGATTAAATTGAAACATAATTTTATTAGTACTCAATGCATTTTAAGATAGTAACTATAGCAGTAACAGTGTAAATGTTTACCAAGTGTTTTAAAGTTTAAAAATAACTTATTAGTCTTAAAACTTAAAGTAATTCACATTCTTTGGTACCAGCCCCCTGTGTCCAGTCTGGTATCACTTCTATTAGGAGAAAGGAAACAATTCATTTCTTCCTGTTTCATTGCTCTTTGTATTGGCATCATCAAGCCAGTGTTTCTAACAGTACCTGTGACTACTGGACTTATAGAGAAACAGCTTTCGTTTGACTTGTGAGACTTACTCAGCCAAGGCTTTAAAAAAAACAAAATCACATACTAGCTCCAAAACAGTATAAACAAAGACAAATTCTATAATTACTGAGATTAAAAAATGTTAAACTAACCAGTGTATGTATGTATATGTATATACAACCATATTAAGTATTTACTTTATATAAACTTCATTTATATAAATTTTGTATGAATTTCTTGCCTCATGCTATAAATTCAAGATATAATACTAAATCATCTTATAGCTAGAACTTATAGAAATTATTAAGGAATTGATTGCTACATTAGCAATGGTATTCTGTTTTAGAGGATAAAAAAGACTACTGGTATTAAGTATTCACTTTATATAAACTTCATTTATATAAATTTTGTATGAATTTCTTGCTTCATGCTATAAATTCAAGATATAATACTAAATTGTCTTATGGCTAGAACTATAGAAGTTATTAAGGAATTGATTGCTATATTAGCAATGGTATTCTGTTTTAGAGGATAAAAAAGACTGCTAGTATCTAAAATTTCAGATTAAAAGAAGGGGTAATTATTTTCAAAATATTCTCTGAAACTACCTAAAGTATACTTAACACTAAAAGTAAAATTACTTCAGTGTTGCAGATTGATAGAGAATTATAGACTAATATGAATGAAATCATGAAGATAGTCTGATTAAAATCCCCAGACATAGTCATTCATGTAGATATTACTATAATGTAAGAAGTGAAAAGCCAAGAACACTGTCAAAACCTAATATGAACATGCTTGCTATGTTAGTACAACAACATCTTTAAATAATAATGAGTCATCAAACCCCACAAGCTTATAATTGTTAAATATTTAGTTATAAGCCAATTTTTGGAAAAATTTAGTAATATCAAAAAATTCTAGATAACAATAACAGTTAACCATATCTTATGAAAAATTATATGGAAAATTCACTTACAAAACATTATAGTGGGTTTTTTTCCCCATTATTGTAAGAGGAAGCTAAAGGTAAGCATTATTTTTAGACATTGAGTCACAAACTCTTTACTATCTAGGACTTGATTTTACCCTATGTTCAATCTTATAAATAAGCCTATTATTGTTTCCCAAGCACTGTCAGGAAACTCAAGACTCCTAGGCCAGAAACAAAGGGCTTTATCATTTATAGCATTTCCAGCTTGAGCATTAGGATATGTGTATTGTTTTCCCTTGCTACCAACTGTATGGGAACTACCCAGAGGATACCTACATGTGCAGTGAATTGCACTGGAGCAGAGCATCATGAGTTTAGGGAACTCAAAAATCACTGGATGTGGTGACATAAGCCTTTAGTCCCAGCACTTGGGAGGCAGATGCAGGCTGATCTCTGTGAGAATGAGGCCATCCTGGTCTACATAGTGAGTTCTAGGCCAGCTGGGGCTCCAGAGAGGCCCCCCCCCAAAAAAAAAACACAAAAAGGGAACTCTCAAATATTCACATGGACAGTGAACATGCCTTCCCATTGTTCTTAGAGAGAAAGAAGTAGAGGTTCTGCTTGTTCCAAGTCTTTAAGAAAACTTGCCCTTTTAATTCAAATGTATTTGAAAAAATAATCCACAACAGAGGTCAGTTTCTGTTAATAAGTAATTCTGAAGTCAAGAATGCATATTAAAATTTGAATTTAATGGTAATCATTACAATTTATAGAGAGTAAGCCATCATAGTGGCACAGGTCTTTAATCTCAGCACTCAAGTTCAAAACCAACATCTGTTGTCTAGTGAATTTGGGGCTAGCCAGAGGTACTTGCTTAGCTGACCCTGTCTCAGAGACAGAGAGAAACAAAGAGAGGAATGTCTAATTCCAGGAAACTATGAGCATCTCTCAAAATGTACTGTAATGGTGGTAAGTCACCTGTCCTGTTGATCAAGGAGGCCATGGAGACCCCATCAAATGGTATTAAACTAGTGTCCAAACTCCAAAGGGGAGGGTCAACACAGAGGAAAAATTTCCTCCATGCTTCCAAGCAAAGCCAGCTATGATTGAGCAAGACCTTTGACCTATCTTCACATAGGCAGAACTGGTGAAAGAAAGGCCAGGGGCTCCTCCCAAGCCCATGTGACCCCTGAGGAATAGATCCTCAAATGACCTTAAGAGTAAAAATAAATTGGTTTATCTGGGCCAACTGTATGGTCTTAAACACCCAAAAGGAAAGTATAACCAAAGATTAAAGGAGCCAATATAATTTTTAAGAGTCCATATGTATAGCTAAAGGCTACATAACAAGAAACAATGCCAGACAGGACATACCTTCCTTTGAGTTGTTGGCCAGGGTGGCCCAAGAGACTCCCAGACAGGAACCCAGCATAGAACTGGAAAAATGAATAGCAGACCCCTATCTTATCTAAAGGAATATTGGCAACTGATTGCTGCTGGATGAGGAAGAGCTGATCTTCCTAAAACAAGGAACTCTAGATAGGCTGACTAGATTCAGTGGATGGACAAGCACTGGAGAATGGCTGGGGGTGCTGACAACACAGTGGACAGTAACAGGGATGACAGAATATATGGGCTCCATTGGGGGGTAGGAGGGCTATGGGAGGGTGCCATTTGGGAAGTGTGTATATAGATGAATAAGATTGTTTAGGATGTTCTGAATAAAATACACACAAAAAAATCAACGAATAAAAAATGAGTTATATTTGAGGAAGAAGCATAAAAATTTGCTTCATGTTAATTTAGTAGAGGTGAAAAACATTACCATTGAAATCTACCTGATGACTTTATATCCATGCTCAGGTGCCAAATATCCCATTGTAACCTACTGTGACTAGTAATAATCAGATACATAGAAATTAGAGACACATG